CCCGGGTTGCCGAGCCCCGCGGTCTGCGTGGCGCTGAACGCCGGCACGGCCACCAGCAGCACCCGCTGCCCCGCGGGCCCTGCGGGGACACGGGGCGGCTCAGCGGCGCCGGTGGCACCGGGGACGCGGCGCGTGGGGACACCGGGACTCACCCGTGACCGTCTTGCACTGGAAGCGGGGGGTGTTGCCGCAGAAGTAGACGTGCGGGCACTCGCTGAGGATGAACGGGTCCGATTCGTAGAAGGGGTAGCACCCTGGGGACAACGCGGGTGACACGGGGAACCCCCCCCGCCGTGTCCCTGCGCTCGGCCCCCCGGCCCGGGCCTTACCCAGCGTGTCCGGGGCCGTGGGGCTGAGGTGTCCCACCCTCAGGGTGCACTCCAGGATCTCCAGGTAGTCGTCCATGCTGCTGTACTTGAAGATGTCACTGACGTTCTGCCCCGACGTCCCCAGAAACCTGCAAGGAAGCCACACGGTGCCAGCCGGCGCCGTGATGCCCACGCCGGGGTCCGAGCAGGGTTTTTTTCTTACCTGACGCCATCCACGTCGGCCTGGTAGGGGTTGGTGACCAGCTGCAGCGTGGAGTAGGCGCTGGACAGGGGCAGCATGCAGCGGTGCAGGGGCTGCTGCGGCAGCGTGTAGTTGGTGGGGTCGAACTCGCCGGGCATCACGTCCACAGGCACCGAGGTCTGCGGGCAGAGCGGGGCTGAGCAGGGGACCAAGGGGCTTCCCGTGCCACTTAGAATCACAGAATGCTGAAGGTTGGAAGGGACCTCTAGAGATCACCTAGTCCAACCCCTGCACACGCAGGGTCACCTAGAGCACGTGGCACAGGGCTGCGTCCAAGCGGGTTTGAAGATCTCCAGAGAAGGAGACTCCACAACCTCTCTGGGCAGCCTGTTCCAGGGCTCTGGCACCCTCACTGGGAAGGAATTTTTCCTTAAGTTCCTGTGGAACTTTTGGTGCTTCAGTTTGTGGCCATTTCCTCTAGTTCTGTCGGTGGCCACCAGTGAGAAGAGGCCGCCCCATCCTCCTCACTCCCTCCCTTGAGGTACCTCTAGACACTGCTCAGGTCCCTCTCAGCCTTCTCTTCTCCAGCTGAACAGGCCCAGCTCCCTCAGCCTCTCCTCACAGGGCAGATGTTCCAGGCCCCCGATCATCCTTGTAGCCCTGCACTGGCCTCTCTCCAGCAGCTCCACATCCCTCTTGTACTGTGGGGCCCAGAACTGGACACAATACTGCAGAACTGGACAAAATGCTCCAGATGTGGCCTCACCAGGGCTGAGCAGAGGGGCAGGATCCCCTCCCTCGACCTGCTGGAGATGCTCTTAATGCACCCTCTGGGGTATCAGCTACTCCTCCCAGTTCGGTATCATCAGCAAACTTGCTGAGGGAGCATCTGTGCCTCCATCCAGGTCATTGATGGATAAACAGGGCTGGGCCTGGGGGACACCGCTAACTACAGGCCTCCAACTAGGCTCTGCACTGCTGATCACCACCCTCCGGGCTCTGCCACCCAACCAGTTCTTAATCCACCTCGTCACCCACTCACCCAACCCACCCTGCCAGAGCTTGCCCAAGAGGACGCTGAGGGCCGGGGCCAAAGGCCTTGCTGAAGCCCAGAGAGATGACAGCCACTGCTTCCCCTCATCCATCCAGCCCATCATTCCATCTTGGGAGCCTATCAGCTTAGTCCAGCACGGTTTCCCCTTGGTGAACCCATGGTGACTACCCCTGAGCACCCTCTAATCCTCCCTGTGTGCTGGAGACAACAGGCACTTCCAAGCACAGTTTGCTACCAGGCCCGCTCTGATCATAGAATCATGGAATGCTCAAGGTTGGAAGGGACCTCTAGGGATCATCCAGTCCAACCCCTGCACACGCAGGGTCACCTAGAGCACGTGGCACAGGGCTGCGTCCAAGCGGGTTTGAAGATCTCCAGAGAAGGAGACTCCACAACCTCTCTGGGCAGCCTGTTCCAGGGCTCTGGCACCCTCACTGGGAAGGAATTTTTCCTTAAGTTCCTGTGGAACTTTTGGTGTTTCAGTTTGTGGCCATTTCCTCTAGGCCATTTCCCCCGCTTGGCCCCTTCTCCTTAGCCCGAAGGCGCCCACTCCGTGCTCACACAAAGCTGCAGCAAGATCTCATCCAGCATCTTCATGGCCTCCACGCTGGCCGCCTGCGTCTTCTTGGTCAGATACTTGGCCTGCGTCACCAGGAAGACACCGGGGTGAGGAACAACCGCGCGTGGCAGCCGCGGTACAGCCGTGGCGCGGCGGTACCTTGTTGATGCTGTCGCGGTTCTGCGTGTTGCGGCTCAGCAGGTTGCCGGCGAGGACGACGCGGCAGATCTGCGCGGCGCATCGCTGCGCGCCCTCGGCGCCCAGCTGCCCCGTCACCACGTCCACCAGGAGCTGCGTGCCCAGCAGCGCGCCGCCGCTGCCGCCGCCGAGACCCCGACCCGTGGCCCGCAGCA